AAGTTCGTTAAATTTCAAAATCGATGATGACGGACGCCATGTTTGAAGCGAACAAATTTGATTCGTTTGTGTAAGGGATAATTTATTTGTAAAAAATGATTATTTAAATAATAAATTACTTTTAATTTAACAATGTAAATATACATAATCGATTTATTTATTCGATATATAATAAAATAACGGTTTTATTTAAACAATAATTTAAATTTTATTGAAAACGAAAAACAAAAAGGTATGCAAACCATTTCTAATACGGTTGTTAATTTTTTTAATATTTTTTATAGGCAATTCGAACAAGATTAACATTACGCTGGTTAATGATATTTCACTAAGGAATTAAATTTTTAAAAAAATAATTTATATCCAGCCATCTTATACAAAAATAATATTTAAAAAAAAAAAAAACATTCAAGATTATAATCAATTCTCGTAAGTTCATATATAATTTTTTCACACTGTACATTTTTACATATAAATCTACTCATTCGTTTTAATAAACACTAACAACAAACAAAAACATTTCCACCATTTTATTGCTATTATTAATATATATATTTTTTTTCCATGTAGGCAAAAACTTCAAATGATATTCACAACACATTTAAAATAAAAATGACAAACATATTCACTGTTCTAAAAATTCTACAAAATGGCGGAGCACATTTATGCAACGTCATCAAATTCTAATTTCACACAAATTATAAAACGAGTAAGGTTGATAAATAATTATAAAAAAAAAATTTGTATTGTAATCACTTTTTTTTGCAACGCATGCCATTTTATGCATGAATGAATGAATTCTGGATTAATTTATCGCGTTACTTTGAATTATTATCCATTTTGATATATTTTATGGGAAGTTTGTGTGTGTGTATGTATGATACTCAAAAAAAAACCATTTTCATTTTTTTTTCCTAAATGGAGTTTTAGTAAACTTAATAATTTTATTTATAACAACTACATAGATTTTAAGATACAAATGTGTGTGTATTTATTGTAATGTAACCATCTCTTTTGATGTTACAAAATTATTTAACAAAAAAAAAAAAAAAAAAAATGTAATGAAATGAAATTGATATTAATTGTTTTTTTATTTTTAGGTCAGTTGAACGATATATAATAACGGATAGGAAATTAGTTCTTTCAGGCGATAATGGTGATAATTTATTTAATTATTATTATTATTTTTCGACTTCTTTCTTTCATGGTGTTAACGCATTAATTTCTTCTACGTATGTTGCAGGAAATATGCCGATGACACCTTCGAGTTCTCCTAGCCACCAACCGTCAGGATGTTTGTCGTGAATTTTAATTATGTCTCCTGAAAACAAAATGTAATTTAAAATTTGTTTTTTTGTTTGTATTAATGATTTCGTGATTGTTGTGATGATGATGATTACCGATTCTCAGGTTTAATTCGTCGTAAACTTTAGCAGTGTATTCGTAGAGAGCCCTGCATTGACCCAAATTTGTTTTGTCCGTGTCTCCGTTGCATTCGGATATAATTGGCACGTTATACACGCTGCATTGATAATCTTTTTCGCTTCCGGCGCTTGAAAATTCGTCTATGAGAAAATATGGCGTTTAGTTTTGTTATGGTACTTGCGATGTTATTTTCATTTAATCGATAATTACCGAAATCGCTATCAGGTTGAACCGAAGTACCATCACCTGCTTCGCGTCCGGTCCAATCCGGTGAATCTTGTCCCGTTCTTTCTCCCATGGCTTCATTTTTAGCCCAATAAGGTACTCTTAATATACTTTGTTGTAATCCCTGACGATCTCGCGTCATGTGTATGTGAGATGCTAAAGGATGAGGAGGTTTAGGTCTTCCGTCTAATTCTGTAAGCGCACTTTGAACTTTATACCTCGCCGCTTCCAAATAAATTAACATTGATTTCATCTGAAATGACGTCAGTTTTTTTAATTAAAAGTTTTACGGTTTATTTAAAATTTTATTTGAAAAAATCTTACGTGGTGTAATTTTTCGTCGACATTTTGTTGAGATTCTTCCGCACCGAAATTTGGAGTTTGCTGTAGTGCTCTTTGTAAATTTTCAACTCCTTCTTTCCCACGTCTTTCTCTTTCCAAATCTTGTCTTATTAATTGTAAAAGTTTTAGTAAAGCTTGTTTGCGTCTTTCCCGGTTCATGGCCAACGTAACGTGTTCGGCATAAAAATCAGGGAGTAATTGTTCTTGTACGAGCTGACCAGATCCTTTCATAGCAGCTACCGTTTGTATATCTCTTGTGACGTCACAGGTTTCGATCGGCTCCGTTAGTCGGTCGCAAGACTGTAACAAAATCGATATTTTTTGATTATTATCATTATTATTATTTTTTTAATTGCAAAATTTTTACGATGGAAATTTCAATTCGCTGCAAATTAAAATTTTTAATTAAACACAACCTGTGTGAGCCTTGGTCCGATTTCTTTGAAATGTTTTAGATAACAAGAAGCTAAATTTTTTAAACAAGATAATCTTTCTTCTTCCAATCCCTGAAAACAATAACTTCCTCTTGTCACAGCTGATTCCCAATCGAGCCGACATCTTTCTGCTCTCACGCAAAAGCTATAATATTCAATATCAGCTTTTTTAACGGATTCTTCAGCCTTTTTCCTTTTTAAATCCAACTGAAAAATATTATTATTATTATTATTATTATTTATAATCTTTGTCGTTGTCGTTGTTGTTGTTTTATAAATATCTAACCTTGGCAGATTCTTTATCTGACACATTTTTATGATTGTGATGGTGTAAATGCAAAGTACTTGCATTTCTATTATTTCTTACATCCAATATTGTGTCTTGTAATTTTTCATTTTCTCTCGCGCATAAAAAACTTTGTTTTTTACTTTTACATTCTGCTTGTCGCCATTCCGTTAAAGTTTTAGCTTAAAAAACAAACAAAAAAAAAATTAAGGCACGAACAAAACAATTCAACTTTTTTTTTTTTTTTTTTCAGTGGTGACATTGATTTACCTGTTTTGTCGACGACGCCTTCGACGTTTTTACGAATTCGATGTTGAGAATCAATTAATTGTTTTAATGGTTTAACAACGTCTTCGCTCAAAGCAACGGCAAAATTTCTATGAATTTCACTTTGAACTTCCATTTCTGCACCGAGTCTTTGCCAGGCTTCGGAAACCGTACCGACAGCATCTTTGGATGTTTTGAGCAATTTATGTGATAATTTGCTGAGACTTTTGGCATATTGATTTTCAGCTTCAGATCTAAATCATCGAATTCACACCATTAAATTTATTTGCCTCAATTACTTGCATTATAACAACAATGGAGCATAGTTTTCATCTTACCTTTCCTGAAGAATGACGCTGAGCTCTTTACAAAAATCTCCGCCTTGTTTTATATATCGTCTCAATTCTTCGAATCCATTTTGACCCTAAAAACAAAAAGTAAGAATTTATTACCGGATTGTGTGCGTGCGTGTGCGTGTGCGTGTGCGTGCGTCGACTGTCATAAAACTAACTATTTATTTTTATTGCAGAAAACGAAAAAACAATGTCGCAGATGAAAACAACAATAATAATAAGGATAATAATAATAATATTTTTTCAATGTACAAAAACCGAAATCAAAGATAAATTCGTGGGCAATTAAATTGATAGGAAATAACGACTTTCTTGCGTTGAAAATGCGTGCAAACCTTGAAATCGTACCCGTAATTAGGTACAAGTATTTACAATGTATTATTATTATTATTATTATTATTATTATTATTATTAAATCAGGTTTATGCAGGTGAATCGTGATTTTCGTAGACTAATAAAAATACATTGAATTATTAAATAATTATTTATTCCGCACGACAAAAAAAACAAATCAATAAAAATTCATTCGATTGATTTTTATTGATTTTTTCTAAATTACATAATGATAATAATAATAATAATTAATCGATGCGGCCCACGAAAAAAAAAATAAATAAATAAATTTTTTGGTATGTGTGTGAAAAAAAAAAAATGATTCGATCGATTGCAACATGATTTCTTCTGCTTTTTTTTTTCTCCTGTTTATATAATACATATTGGGGCCTTTATTATTATTATTATTTAATATTTATTTTGCGCAAGATAAAAAAAAAAATTCATTTCGGTTTCGAAAATTATTTATTTATTTTTATTATTAAAAAAAAAAAAAAATGATGGTTTGTCTTAGATGGCATCAAGTTTTTATTTGTGCATAACAAAAATTGCATCATTTAAATAAAAAATAGAGAGAGAGAGAGAGAGAGAGAGAGAGAGAGAGAGAGAGAAAGGGGAAAAACGTTACGTAATATTATATATATATATAATTGTATGTTAATGTTGCCAACAGCAAAAAAAAAAAAAAAAAATTTTAATTAATAACAAAATTTTAGCAAATTATTTATAATAATTAACTTGTTTTTTTTTATTTTTCTCGTTGCAGATTTTAAAATAATTTAATTAATTATTATTATTATTATTATGTTGCCCGATTTGACGTCATCATTTTACATAATTTTAAAAAATTTGAAGGACCTGTACTCGATAAAGGTACGTAAATAAATAAATAATTTTAAATCGAGCGAAACGTAACAATCACAATAAACAAACAAACAAACAAACACGCGGAACGACAACAACAACAAACGATAAACAAAAAATAAATAAATAAATAACCTTCGGTGATGATGATGATGATAACTGATAACGAGACGTTAAAATAATTTTCCTAGATGATTTTCTCATATTTTCTAATCTAATTCCGGCATTTTCAAATTTTTTTTTCATTTTTTTCGTTAAACTTTTTTCACGTATTAAAATCGATTCGAAATCATCGTTGAAAAAAATTTCATCCATATTGAATGACCGATTACATACGACTGATTACAGATACCTGATAATTAATTTACAAAAAAAAAAAAAAAAAAAAAAATTATTTAAAAGTTTTATATCGGATATCGATTAGATATCTTTAACTATGATAATAATAATAATAATAATAATAGTTTTTTTCTTCTGCTAAATTACGTCGTCTCGTTTTAAAAAAAAAAAATTTTTTTTTAAATTTAGGTCGATTTAATTATAGATTTAAATAATTATTACTTTTTTTTTTAAATATTATCACATTGTTAATTCATCTCTCACTCTCTCTTTCTCTCTCTGTTACAGTTTTACCAACTTTTTAACACTAAATTTATTTTATTCGACGATGGAAGAAGTGACGGAACGAAAAAATGGAAATTTTATAGATGTAGGTCGAATTATATCGGCATACGGCACTGATATTCGTTGCTGTTGGTCTATGGATGTTGTTACGTCACAGGTTGTGTAATTTTAATTATTATTATTATTATTTAAAGTCCCACTTTTTCCTATCTCTATCTCTTTCTATCTCTTTTCAACGGTAAATTTAAAAATATCGAATTGTAGAATGGTAGAATAATTTATTGATTTCCCCCCCCCCTTTCCCCAAAGATTAGAGGATATTTGAGGTATTGCACTTTCGTGTCTTTCCTTTAAATCAAATCCAATTAAAGGAATTGCGAAAACGGGAGGAGGGGCGAGGGGCGAGGGGAGGAGGGAAAAATCAAATCGAAGTATTATTATTATTGTTACGTTAATGAATAGATCGCGAGGGGGGAGGGGTTTATCGATTTATTTCGATACTTTTATTAATTTCTTTCCTATTTTGTTTTCATTCGAGTATATTTAAAAAAAATTTTTTTTTTTGTCTGCTGCCACTTTTACGGGAAAAAACTTGTCGCGCGGGAAAACCGTTATGTATTATGCATACGTACGTTTACTTATTAATTAATTGCAAAGTAATTTTACTGTCACAAAGTTTAGAAAGCAATTATATTTAAAATTACTTCCTGATCTTAATAAAATAATTTTAGTTTAAAAAAAAAACGTTTCTTTCATTTTGAAAGAAGGAAAAATTTTCTTTTTATTGACTTTCTCTCTCTCTCTCTCTCTCTTCCTCTCGCTATCTCTATCTATTTCCGTTTGTTTCATTTATGCTTTTGTTGTACCATTTAATTTCTGGACAATCAACTCATAAAATGACATTTCATTTATTTTTAATATTTAATAAGGCGATAAAACCGTACAACACGTTGTTGTCATTGAAATATCGTGTAATTAGAATTTTTTTTTTTTCTCTTACGTCGACCTTGAAAATTTCCTAACGAGTACGACAAAAAAAAAAATAATTTTCCGTGGCAGAAGTTTTACGGTTGACTAAAAAATTAAATTATAATTTATACGAAGCGTTTTTTTTTCTTTTCGTTCGTTTTCTAAATGTTCCGACGGGAAATTTAAAAAACTTTTGAAAAATAATTTTCCCCCTCCCCTCCTCCCGATACATGTTGGCAACCCTTAATCAAAATGAAAATGTTTTTATTTAAAAGAATTTTTTGTAGCGTACCCATAGTTATATTATTTATACTAACTGCATTAATTTTTAATTTTTGTATTTTTTTTATTTTGTGTAAAAAAGAACCGGAAACGGAAAAAAATTATTCATTCAATAATGGCGATTATATTTATTGTAGGTATCAATACGAGTGATGATAAACAATTCGCCGATATGGATAGTTAACCTTAATGGATAGGAACTCATACGTCGCTCATATTTTCAGGTATGTTTTTTTTTTTCCAAACCTTTTTTATCAATTTTATCAATTCGTAAAAAAAAAAAAAAAACAAAAAAGGTTTTACTTTGAAAAAACGAAATTTAAAATTTAATAATAATAATAATAATAATAATAATAATAATAATAATAATAATAATAATAATAATAGTAATAATAATAATAATAGTAATAATAATAATAATAATAATAATAATAATTAATCACGTGTCGTGTAAATGGCAATAAAATTTAAAAATGTATAATTTTACAAAAAAATTTTTTAAGAATTATAACATGAGGTCAGAATTTTAATTTTAAATTAAAATCATCATCATCATCATCATCATCATCATCATCATTATCATTATTATTATTATTTTAAAATTACGTTATTAACATTACGCGTAAAAAGAGAGAAAAAAGAAAAAAGTAAATTTTTTTTTTTTTCTTCTTCTTTCAAGGTGAATTATCTGACCCAAAAGAAACAAAATAATGATGATGATGATCGTGGTGATAATAATGATAATAATAATAATAATGATTAAAAAATAAAATTTTTTTTGGAATAAAATGAATTTAAAAAAAAAAAAAAAATTTATTACGTCATCACACATATTAAAGTGAGAATTTTTTAAAATTGACTCGGGTTTAAATTAAACAAAGGTTTTTTTCTTTTTCCAGGGAAAACAAGAAGGGGGGGAGGGAGAATAATAATAATAATAATTTTTAACGTGTGAATAAATTATAATCAATTGTTGTAAATTTTTAATAGACTAAAATTTAACTTAATTGAAATTTTTTTTTTTTTTTATTATGGCGTCATTACTGAAATCATTAAAAAGAAAAAAAAATTACGTTATTATAATAATTTTGTCATATATTACTGACATTTAACTAGTTCACGATATTATTATCATTATTATTATCATTATTATTATTATTATTATTATTATTATTATTATTATTATTATTATTATTATCATTATTATTATTATTATTATTATTATTATTATTATTATTATTATCATTATTATTATTATTATTATTATTCTTTTCATAATCGTTAAACAACAACAACAAGTTGTATTATTAAATGTCGACTGTAATTTAAACTCACTCTTAAATCAATAAATAAATAATTTTTTTTTTTATTTCTCCCCCCGGCGTGGTAGCAGACGATTTTACGTGTATTTCGGGGGAGGGGGGGAAATTATTATTATTATTATTTAAATATTTCCTGTTCGTTTAACCGGTAGCAAAATAATCTGATCGGAATTTTTTGCGGTTTTTTTTTTTTTTTCGCTAACGGATACACCGGAAACGAACGAATTATTTTTATAAAAATTTGTTTTTTTTTTTTTTTTAATCGTTTGCGAGACGTTACGTAGTTTTTATTATTATTATTATTATTATTATTATTATTATTTTTATATAAGTCAATGCGTGTGCGAATGAATAATAATTCACCTGATTATTTATTAACCTTGATTAAGTTCAATGATGTTGTTGCAACAAGGTTGAATAAAAGACGGGGGGGTGAATGGGTCAAGATAAAAATTATTATCATTATCATTATTATTATTATCATTATTATTATTATTATTATTATTATTATTAATTAATTAATTCAATTTATTAAAACGATGCGATGGCGGCACACCTTTGCCAATTTCAAATCGAATTATTATTATATATAATAGAAATTTTTTTGCATATTTTTTTTTTTCGGACGACATTTTTTTCAGACGACGTAAAAAAAGGGAAAGTTTAAAAAAAAAAAAATTTTAAATAGTTTTTATCGTTAAACTCGACCGACTTTTCCCAATAAAAAAAAATGATAATGATAATAATAATAATAA